CTATCAGTATGGACATGAACAAAGGTTATAGTATGACAAAGAGTATGAGCTCCTGTGCACAGGATTAAAACAATTATTCATAATGAAGATTACGTAAGTATCTGGAAGTCTCTGTGTGACATGTAGAGAACACAGAACACCACTGTACACACTACCTGAACTGGCAGTAATAGCCTAAAACTGAATATAGGCTCAATAAAGGAAGACATCCATTGCCAGCAAACAACCAGCCTCATTTCATCTGACGAGGCAGATTCCATTGGACAGAAACACAAACCAGCGGTGACAATCATGTACAAAAGAGTCTGGCTTCCAACTTTGGGCACAAATACTTCCTTCTAAGCTTGTAAATTTGTGGCAATGATTTTGTAAAGCTTCAAAACATGCATTCTAAACATAGCAATGATATATATACTAGGCCTATTTGTGTTTGCATGTTTGTAGAGTTCGGGGTGATGAGGTCTCTTGGTCTTTATGGTAGGATTGTCAATTAGGGCAAAGAAGAACATTGTCAAAATCAGGCTATCCAAACTGAGTTCAAATGTCATACCTCTGTCATACATCAACCCATCGATGACTTAATGAGGGCATGGGCTTTTAAGCTGATAATACCTGAACATTCCAGATATATCAAAACATGGGAACACCAGAATTGGATTCCCACTTAGTACCAACACCAGGAATCAAACCTGAATCTCCAGCCTGTTGGGCAAACACTGTAAACACTGGGCTACCTCACAGTCAACCCAACCCTCTCCCCACTTCATAGGGGCCTTGGTTCCGGTTTGTCTGATTCATATTCATTGGCAATGAACAAATAACAATATATTCGCTACCTGCCTTTTCCAGGAATACTATAATTTCAAAATGGGTCCATGAAATTTGGTGCCTGCCAGCAATTACTTCATTTATGGCATATCAAAGAATGACCAAGCAACAGATATATATGACCTAACCTGGATGTTTTTACTTCTGGATGCTAAAACTACAACTACTACATCTGTACACTTTTGATTATATTTTTGATTGTTGCCATCCTGTGTATGTAAGTTCAATGCATATAGAATACACTACAGAGGTGTCTAACATAAACTGTACTACATGTAACACATTCATACAGTAACCATTACCATGTCACAGTAGGGATATCCATGTCATGGAAAGATCATTAAGGTATCATAAATAATTAAAAGCAACAAAACCCTGTCCCTATTCATATGAAATCTCTGCTAAAAGCTAATAATAACTACATTCTTCCTACAACTGTACCATTTGTATTTGTGTTGTAAATAATGCATATGAGCTTATTACAGAAACAATATTTGTGTCATTGCGCAATTTGGGGCCAATGGAAGGATTTGAAACTTAGTACTGTATGGAGGGGCTTATGAATCAAATCAAAATATTGTTTTTACTAAAGTGTCTTTTTCTCAACGATCTTGAACCCACACACTGACCATGTTTCATGTTTTAACAAATGTGACTACACTTCTGACCTTTATCTGACCCAGAATAACGTTTCATTTTTATTCAACAATGACATTGGCCTTGATTATGTTAATTCCCATCGATGATATAAATATTTCAGTAACAGTAACAGCTGAGTTAACTTTGCACAATGAAACACAGATGAAATGTCTACTTTGATGGACAAGAGTTGAGATCTTCCACAAATACTACCACGAAGTAAAAGCATCTAAAACAGCTGTGTAAAGACACACATAAACGTAACAAGAGAGTAATATCAGAATCTAACAACAACTGTGATGAATTTGACAGTGAAAGGCACATACAATCAACATTTCAGAGCCGGGTACTCACTCACACTCTGTGTGTCCACATTTACACAATAGTACATCACATAACGTCAACACCTGACCCACACACAATAAACCATTCCCAACAGTGTTCATCCAGCAAACCAAGCTCAGCATGTGCTCAGAATGCATTCATGAATTATCCATTCATCCAGCAAACTAAGCTCAGAATGCATTCATGAATTATCCATTCATTACAGGTAAACTGTCGCAATGCATTCATGAATTATCCATCCATTACAGGTAAACTGTCACAATGCATTCATGAATTATCCATTCATTACAGGTAAACTGTCACAATGCATTCATGAATTATCCATTCATTACAGGTAAACTGTCAAGTGCAATTCAAACATAGAACTAATGTGCAGTGATCTTAATGTTCTTCTTATGCCATACTCTTTGCCTGTTCACCTATAGGAACTTATCTCCCTATATAGAATAAATATGATATGGCATAAATATACCAGACACATTTAACTGCTTTCTAATATCTTGAATTAAATGATATTTCAGCTATAAAATGTTTTCATTTTCATAAATCTGTTTCATTTTAAACATGCATATATTAGATTTCATATGATAGCAAATGGGCATGATAATCAGAATCAGATTAATAATGTGAGGGTATTTGACCAGAAAAGTCCATGTCATCTCTCCATTTATTTTGTTTGTTTGGTGTTGCTGCTTTCTGCAATCACCCATGACAGCAGACTGACAATCCACTGACATAATGTTGGTGATGACCTACATCGTCAGGTACGAAACACAGCATCAGCTGAGTCACCGAGCTTGATCATCAGATCCATTTAGTAGCCTCTTATGACCTATTCTTAACCAGAACTTACAATTTATACCCTAGGAAGACCCATTTTCTTATGAGGTGCAACTACATGACAACAAGCCCACTACCCACAAAACCATGGAGATCTGTAGCACCTTCTTGACAGTGCGCATCCTGGTGGAATCCACCAGAAGTATATAGAGAACACAAACAAAGGAAGAGTGACAATCAGATATACAGGGTGTCCCACACTTAAAGAGTAAGTGTCTTGGGTTTAATGCTATCTTAAACAGTATCAGTACATTGGAACCTTGTTAGAGCAGACAGTATGTCTTTATGAAATAATGTCTTGGGTATAAACAATATCAGTACACTAGCACCCTGTTAATCCAGCACATGACTTCTTTATGAGATGGTGTCTTGGGTTTAATGCTATCATAGACAGTATAAGTACACTGGCACCCTGTTAATCCAGCACATGACTTCTTTATGAGATAGTGTCTTGGGTTTAATGCTATTTTAAACAGTATTGGTACACGAGAACCTTGTAATTCCAGACAGTGACTTCTTTATGAATATCAAGCTGATAAGCATAAGAGAACCAGTCCCTTACACTATAGTGGCCTTCACTATAGAGGCCTCACCAGAAATGGGCTTCACACATTGTCCCTTGAACTATAGAGGCCTTCAAGAAAACCTTGAACACATGACCAACAGATCCTTGAACAGCAACAACCAAGCATAGCATCTAGCTGTGCCTAGCATCACTGGGCCATATGTGTCCCTGGGTGACAGAATGTGTACACACAAATATTTCTGTTATTTTGAGAAAGCAGTTGAAGAAAAGTGGACTTAACACAATGAACATAAGGAAACAAATGGCTCCGAGTGAAAAGACAAAGCTTAAAACATAAAGAAAGGTGAAATATATAATGACCAATGACACAATTTACAATCACTATCAGAATATTGGCAAACTATGCCATGACCTTGAAGTTTGAACATGACAAATTTGAACTCAATACTGAAGAATATTATTGATTCACTCACCCCTAAAACTATCTGGAAAAGTGTATGTTTCTGAAGAATGCTGTACAACCCTATGAGTCTCCCTGATTTAATCATCCTTCCTTTGTTGGTAATTCTCTATCATTTACAAAGGATCAATCTCAGTTATTCAAATTCATAACAAATCTCAAAAGCTCATTTACTCAAGGACACAAACTTCAAAAATTAATATGCATGCAAAACTTCTAAACCTTCTGATAAACAACACACTAACCCAGATTACCACATGCATAAATTGGTATGCCCAAACATTAAAAAACAACAACAATGGAAAGTATTTCAGTTAAATCTAAGTGCCCAGGTAGACAATATGTACAAATCTTTCATCATCAAACAAAATAATGTACACTTGTCTCTATAAACCATTCCTTTCCATAAGCACACTTCCTAACCTTGTTAGAAAACACTGACCTTGGACAACTTCAAGATTGTCATCTCTATTTTAGGCCAGACCAATTATATTTCTTGTTTATGGATTTTTGTCTCAAAAAACCTTAAGGGAGGAGAGACATAGGTTTCATACAGTGATTTCACAGAGTATTTCTATTTTGGTTTATATATCACATCAACATTAGGATTACATTTTTTGAGTGGGGAAAATGTTTGTTTTTTCTTATTATTCTTGGGAAAAAATGCCCTGCGGATCCGTAAAACAAGAAGAAAATTGGTCTGGCCTTATTAGAAAAGAAATCTTGTCTCATATCAATTACTTTTAAAAAAACGTGCAAGTCACACAGTTGGGTTTAACACCACTTTGAACCTTATTCCAGTTAAATCTCGTCATGCCAGTTTCATGCAGGAGAAAATCCTGGAGTGAAGAAGGCCACAAACATTAACCACTTCTGGCATGGTACTGACCAAACCTAGAAACATAATTGGGCTAACAAGGATTCAAATCCCCAGTTATGTGTTTCTGGCATGCCCCAAAGATGCAACTCTGCACAGAGTTGCAGTGCTTTAGATGACTGGGCCTCTCAGGCACCCAGACCATCCTGTGCATGCACAGAGTTGCAGTGCTTTAGATGACTGGGCCTCTCAGACCATCCTGTGCATGCACAGAGTTGCAGTGCTTTAGATGACTGGGCCTCTCAGGCACCCAGACCATCCTGTGCATGCACAGAGTTGCAGTGCTTTAGATGACTGGGCCTCTCAGGCACCCAGACCATCCTGTGCATGCACAGAGTTGCAGTGCTTTAGATGACTGGGCCTCTCAGGCAAGTGCAGAGTTGAAAAGGCTTTAGATGACTGGGCCTCTCAGGCACCCAGACCATTTGCAGAGTTGCACTTTAGATATCACCCAGATAGCATGATACATACTGCAGAACTAAAAGTTGAAAAGTTAATTTCAGCAAAGATGCAATGCAGACGACAGCACTGGAACTAATTGGATTTTCTTGATCAAACATTGAAATGGTAAATAACAAATATGGCAATAATTCCATGAAAAGCTGAGAGTAAATACAAAACCTCAATACCAGAGAACAATCCATCTCAATTCCATGCCAAAACTGATTCCACTGGGCTTAAAACACTAAATAGTGGTGAAAAGTTTATGAAAGGATCACGTACAATCACTGATAATGCCAAGTGTTCATTTCAAATAATCACCTTCAGTCACAATTTATTGATGAAAAGACAGTTCTGAAAGTACTACTTATACAAATATTAAACTATTCATGACCATTATTACATAAAGTGTGATAGGGCGCAACATATAACATATTAAACTTAATAGTTCCCACATATAGATGATTTCCCAAAACCACAGAAGAAAATATGTCAAATATTTCCCTAATGAAAAAGTTCCACAACTTCTTAAAAATAAATATATCTCAAGAGTGACCAATGTATTTGAAGTAATGCATGCTTGATGAAACTTATGATATTCTGTTCAACCAATGCGTCCAAGCTTGAATCATTTATCAAAAATATTTTACTGATCATTACACTTCATCAGTTCCGGGGAACTTCTCTACATCAGCATTATTCCAGGATTGACTTTCTTTAACAATCAAACAATCTTTCAAATTCAATATTCATTAGTTTGGCATTAGGTGTGGTACATACCTCTACCAAATATAACCTTCACAATCATTGGCATATCTACCAAATCTTCCTACAATCAAGTACAACATACAAACAATACACCAAATATTCAAACAAGTCTGGTCAGTTGAAATCCTTCCACCTAAGTCAAAAATATTTTGAACACTTCAGATGCTGTTACTGCTTTTGAACTGAAATAATGAAATCAACATTGTATAAATTACATTTGAAGCTGGTTCATCCAGAAAACACAAAGTCTTTCCAAGAAACTGTGTGGAACTCAAACAGTATTTGTAACAAAGATGGCCGTCCAACTGCTGATTACTGCTGTGGAGGTTGTGTGGGTGGTGGGGGCTTCTGCTTTTCCTTATCTTGGGCACGTTTAAACTCTGCATACTCAATGTACCCATCCCCATTCATATCATTTTCTTTCAGAACAACATCAACGATATTGGAAATTTCATCATCAGTGAAGACTTTCACTTCTGGTGGAGGTGCTGAACTGTCCTTGCTGCTCTGTTCTGAAAGAAACCAATAAAACGCTGTCAGGTGGAGCTTCACTGGTCACAACTCTTCGCTCAAACTTTAAACAAGAGTTATCTAATCTTCATCTTTAATGTCACTCCGTTAACAGAAAACTGATATCAGAATCGGAGCTCTCTACAATTCCGTTACTGTTTTCAAGGATGCCCAGGGATTTACCTTGAGTCCTGTATTTGAGGGTCTCATACTCTTAATTTTCAGAGGTCCTGGACTACAAAATGGGGGTCCCAGACACTTAAATATGATTATTAATACTATGTTGTAATATTGTTGTAATTCAATTACTGTTATTGTATTGTGTATCATGATCATCACATTGTTACAGTAATTAAATTGCAAATGATACCATAAGTGATAAGTTATTGTTACTTGATCGAAATGTTTACAAAAAGTATACAGATGGACTTGTCGAGCTAATGAATTTCGTTGCATCCATTGTAAATTTGTATGGGTATAGGATGCAGGGATTCGTCGTCCTGTTAATCCCTGATGCCTTTGTCAAATAGGCAAAAGTCCTTCAAATATGTGTAATTTTAGTATAATTTTAGTAATCATGACTAATGTCATGACTGGTCACAAATGATGTAAGTTTAACTAAACTCTCCATGGACATTACAAAAAAATCTTTAAACATTTTTCCATCATGAATGTCCGATCTATCGTTATCATGATCTGACCTCAAGCTGTCATTTTGATTGACCACGATTTTACCACATTTTTTCTCTGTCTTTCAGAAAAGTTCAATCATGATGAAGCATGTTTAGTCAGATCAAGACAACAACGGAGTTTCATCCTATATGGTGGTACTGTATCCTCTCATTCATTTTGATTACCAAGGTCCAACCATCTGAGGGCCTGGGATTTGGGGCAAAAATAATTTTGTTCACTAAATTACTCAAAAGGATAATTTTTGCCTTAGGTTTTACCCCCAGATAAAATTTTTAGCATGATGTCCTGAAGAAATATGTTGAAAAAGAGAAGAAAGCTGTTTATCTGCCATCAGAGAAAGAAATTGAAGAAGTAACCGAATAGATATTCATTGCTAGCAAAAATGGCATTTTTACAGAATGTCACATGGTTGGACCCATGTTTCCAGATATTGTATGTGACCCTACATGGTCTACAGACTGACTGACTGAGTTTAGTTTTATGCCGCTTTTAGCAATATTCCAGCAATATCACGGCGGGGGAAACCAGAAATGGGCTTCACACATTGTGCCCATGTGGGGAATCGAACCCGGGTCTTCGGCGTGACGAGCCAACGCTTTAACCACTAGGCTACCCCGCCGCCCCACATGGTCTACAGAACAACATATAGGTAACTGAATGATCCAGGAGCCCTTTACAGTGACACATACGACAACTGACAAATAAAAGAATAGGTGGATACAGTAACCATAGCTAGGGTTGACCCCCACAAGCACTCCATGCATCACAGATGGCACGGGACGAAGCTTCCAAACAGAAAGGGCAAAGAAAGTAAAACCACTTGGCAGCTGCCAGCATGCACATGCTTATTGTATCTAGATTCTTCATGAATAGAATCAGTGAAAAGGCTGAAACAAAGATGTTGTCAGTCTAGTTGCAAATGTGAAGGATCCCGGGTAGGGAAAAGAGAAAGACATTCCTTTTCTTTATACATCTGAGGACATTTAGTCATTGTCTGTTATGCTCACATGTTGATTTTATTGTTAAAGTAAAATTAAAAAGTTTTACAGATTGGGTTTTTCTGGGGTAAACTTCCAACCTCTTCCCATGTAAGTTACAAATGGAAAAATAGGAAATCCTCTCTTTTCAAATCCTGGATCCACCTCCTTTGCTCATACAAATGCAGACATTATGAATATAATTATGACTAAAATAAACACATAATATAATTTAAAAGTATGATTAGCACAATAGTGTCTTAGAACAAAATACATGATGACAATACTGAAACCACAAAGATCAATTTAGGGCAGGATTAGGAATGAAAGTGTAAGTATCCAGCTTATACTATAGAGTTTAATCTGGTCCAAATAGAGTATCTATCTAATGTTTATTTCACCACCACCAGAAACCAGTTGATATTGCCCACTTGCACTAACCTCACAACTTGCAGGATGTGTTAACAACAGGACGGGTATTCCACATGCACCATATATTAAACATATACTGTCAGTTTGTATTGACAATAACAACTCAAAAAGAGTGAGTGAGTGAATTCAGTTTTACGCCGCTTTTAGCAATGTTCCAGCAATATCACTGATGGGGGACACCATGAGCAAAATCAAACCTCGGTCATCAGCGTGACAAGTGAACGCTTTAACCATTAGGATACCCCCACCACCCTCTCATAAAGAATGAGTGAGTGAGTATGTTTTTACGCCATTTTTAGCAATATTACAGCAGTATCACGGCAGGGGACACCAGAAATGGGCTTCACACACTGAACCCATGTGGGGAATCGAACCCGGGTCTTAGACGTGACAAGCGAACGCTTTAATAATTAGGCTACCCCATGCCCACTCATAAAGAAAACCAAAGAGATTGGTGTGTATGTTGACCTGGAGTATAGTAGTGTGTATAGTAGTAGTGATATCCATAGTGTTGTACACCTTACAAAGTTACATTATTTGAATCTGAATTGAATCGAAATTTTACAAGTAACAACCAGTTTGACAACAAAATAAACATCAAAATAATTAATATATTCTATGGAGCAAAACTAAGACACATCATTGACATGAACTCTGTTATGGAAGTTGTAAAATGTCTGTCACATTCTGTAAGAATACCAACTACAAGCTTGTGTTATTTCTGTAACAATTAACACAGTTACAAACCAAATGATATGAAAACAATACTATTATCAGCAGATAATATACATGTTTATTGACAGGAACTCATAAAATAGCTTCTTACACATAAAAAACACCCATCCATAACAACCACATACTCCACATATTATACCACTCAAGGCCTTAAAAGTAAATTCTCACAGCTATCATAAATCACACGATTAAATACACCATTACAACCTAAAAATGTACCACTAAAATGCTTTCCCCATTTTGATAGCATGTTTGATTTCAAAGAATTCTACATAACCATCATCATTAACATCTGGTATTAAACCATGGTCAATAGCCTCAGCTAACTCTTCATCAGACAAAACCTTGATTGGAGCCGACTTATCATTATGTTCTGAAAGTTGAGAAAGAAGGCTTCTTATCAGACATGAGAAGTAGGAAACACTGTTCAAAGGGATTCAAATAGAAAGAAACCAAAAAATAGAATGATATGACATACAGTGAAGTCTTCATGACTGTCACCAAAGTTTGAGACGTAAGACAAAACACAGGACAAATACTGGCACATGCAATGTCACACAAAGACACAATGCTATACACAAAACACAGAAATACACTAGTACAAAAGTATGGACCGACAATACAACACTCCCATCACAACCATGCCACAACACATGCCTCCATGACCAGATATTTGGTTGATTTCATCTTGATTTTATGTATCAACAGATTAAGAATTTCAGAAGAATATAACTTAATATTTAGTGAGTTAGAAATGTTGATTTGGTCATAAGATATATATTTACTGGCTGTTGCCATGAGTTAGATACCCACCTAGCTCAGTGTAAAACACAAAGTAGTTGATATTCTTGAGGGGGCATACAATTTTGAAAGGAGACATGATATTTTTTCAGATACGTAGAAATATTTCTTCTACAAAAATCACCTTGCAACAATTTATTTTCATGGCAAAGTATCTTTTCACCTAGTTTTATTTACCCCTTACAAACCAGCCTCGTCACGCTTTCTTTTCCAATGTATTCAAGCAGAAAAACTCTTTCCATATTCACCAGGAATCGTAGCCAGAAGTAGTGCTACGTGTTGCATAACCACATATTTTCCTATAATTCAATCTCCTGACCCTTTCTGAACCCTTGGTACTGTCATCTTCTACTATTGTTTCCTTCCGTACCTTGGTGATGAAATTATACATCAACATTCCTCTCATACCCTTCCATCATGTCCCTAACAGCTACTTACAAATTAACATGTGTATCACAAGGTTCCTTATCTGAATATGGTTTATCCAAGCAGTAAAGCAGCTAACAAATAGTAGAAAGTACTTCTGTAGTAATAGTAGTAAACCCTCCAGTCTACTCTCACGTCTGCATCAAATCATTTCAACAACTGCCCACTACATATCCTTCATATACATCTGATTGAGAACTCCAGTTCTACCAACACATTATAAAGCCCCCTAACATCATATCTACATGACATCCGTCATTCTGGGGGATTTGTCTCCCATTTGTGGTTGAGACCCTCAGCCCCTACACCAGCTCCCAGAGCCTGATATAACATGCGCCCTGGGCGAAGAGTTTGTGGCCATGCATCCCTCCTCCTCCGAGCTCTCTTCCATTTGGCGCAGTAATTCAATTACCTTTTCTGTCACTCGGCTGGGCTAAGGGACTGGAAAGCCAGGGGCCTTTACACCCAGCCGTACTCAGGCGCTCAGAGAGCCTCAAAAGGATGCTCTTGTGTCCATACACCTTCAACACTCCGACATGCTTTAATCGCCTCACAAAAAGACGCTCAGGCTATTTCCGAGCCCATTTCCGAGCTGTTGTTAAAACTTAGACACTGCCTGCTTAACAAGGCTTCAAAATCTGTAAAACTCATGTCTTTCAAAGTTCAATAAAGGTTCTTGAGATAAAAAGCATTTATGTATGGAGACATCTGCGTTTTACTGATTGTGTTGCCATGTATGTCTGATACTGTAGTGGTCGATATTTCAAAAAGTTAGTTTAAAAGGTCAAAACTAATTATGCTGATAGTAGGTGAGTCACCAAACATCACAGTAGAATAGATTCTAAATTCTAACAGTACAAAAATGGATATGAAGTATGAAAAGTTCAAGATGAGTTCCTCTTGTTCACAGGGAACCTACCTGACCCAAATCTCTCAGA